ATATACTGTGTGAGTTCTATTGTCTTGGTTTACACAAACGGCTGAACAGTTCAAGACATCTTGTTCACTGGTTAGCTAGTAAATCCGATAGTGTCTCACAAGGGAAGGTTCAAAGCCAAAAGCTACCTATCCTTTGCAGAATATTTCCAATTTCTTTACTCTCTGTATTTAAATCATGTTGTTGCATTTTCTCTCCGTCAAATTCCATTCATGTGGGGGATTGTTGGAAAAATGGTGTTTTATATGGCTTATTTTAGGCCAACTTTGAGGCCAATTTTGAGTGGGCCCCAAACGTCTTTTGGGATGGGTCCGAAAAGGTGACGTGTTCCTTACCGCGTGGTAAGTCACACGGTGAAGACGGGATGTCAAAATATTTATGAGGGAATGGGAAGTTAACGTCGTTTTAGGGTCTAACATTAATTTTTTTTAGATAAAATTCTTTTGAATTTTTTCAATAAAAAATTATTGTGGGAATTTAATTTAAATATAAATTTAAATTTAAATTTTGGTTTCCTGAGTGGTTTCCTAAAGTTTGTAATTTAAGTTTAAATTTTAAATTCAATTTTTGGTTTCCTAAAAAATTTGTACCTTTTCCTTTATTAGATTAAACTATTTAAATAGTTTAATAATAATAATATTCAAACAGTTTGAATTTGTTCCACAAACGGCTTCTTAGTTTAAACTATTCAAATAGTTTAAATAAAGGAAATATGCCAACAGTTTTAAATCTTTGTTCAACGGTTACCTTTTTATTTGTTTAAATAAAAAATGTTATTATGCAAAGGTCCGAAATTGTTTGGAGTTTAAACAGGTTGCACCTGTTCGGACTAAGTTTGGTTGCCTATATATACAGCCATTAATCCAGCATTCTAGACCCCCGGGAAATTGAGTCTTTGTAATCCAATTTCCTATCCGAAAATATGAGTCTGCAAAATACCTTGTTGCTGTCCAATTCTTTTATTTAGTGCATTTTCCTACATTCTAGTTTTAGGAAAATAATAAAGAGAGTATTAGAACACAGGTTTGGTTCGCCGTACAAATTTGTTTGGTGTGCTACAACAATTTTGTGAAGATCATTGTATCTTGGGAGATATACGCCACTCAACCGTAAGCACCGTAGCGGAGCGAATCTGTCTTAAGGACATAGTGTCACACACTCGACTTGGTCTTTTAATTTTAATTCGGTTCGATAAATAAATTCGGTATGTTATTTATTTATTTTGTTGGAAGCTTTTTTGAAAAATCCATTTTCTAAGAGCTTTATTCCATCCAACCCATATTCTTTTTGACTATTCCATTAGGTCCAATTTGAGATAAGAAGACCAAAATACCCTTTTCATCTACTTATGTTCCATTTAGTTCACATTATTTTCTTATATTTCAATAAGTCCTATGGGTGACATAATTACCAAAATACCCCTAATGTGAATGTTCATATCGTCAATGTGTAGGGGCCCGGCCTATGTCGATCCTCGTGGGTGCCTGGAAAAATTCGAGTAGGGCCGGGCCGGCCCACAGGCCAAAAAAATAGGTCCGGCCCGGCCCGTTGATAATGTGAATATTCATATTGACAAGTTAACATTCACATTGATAAGAGTATAAAATTGGCCCGCGGCCCCCAGGCCGGCCCGTTCATAATGTGAATATTCACATTGACAAATTAACATTAATATTGATAAGAGTGTAAAATTAGCCCGTGACCCGTGGGTAGCCCGGCCCGTTGACAATGTGAATATTCATATTGACATGTTAACATTCACATTGATAGGAGTGTAAAACTAGCCAGCGGCCTGTGGCCGGCCCGAACCCCGCCTATGGCTCGTGGTCTGCCTTGGACGGGCCTGGCCCGACCCATTGATAATGTGAATATTCACATTGACATGTTAACATTCACATTGATAAGAGTATAAAATTAGCCCGCGCCTCGTGGCTGCCCGAAACCAGCCCACGCCCCGTAGGCGGCACAGGGCGGGCCCGACCCGGCCTGTTGACAATGTGAATATTCACATTGACATGTTAACATTTACATTGATAATAGTGTAAAATTGACTCGTGTCCCATGGGCGGCCCGAAGCCCGTGGGTGGCCCGGGGCGAGCCCGGCCCGACCCGGCCCAGCCTGTTGACAATGTGAATATTCACATTGACATATAAACATTCACATTGATAAGAGTGTAAAATTGGCCCATGGCCCATGGGCGGCCGGAAGCCTGCCCGCTGCCCCAGGGCGGGCCCGGCCCGGCCCGTTGACAATGTGAATATTCACATTGACATATTAACATTAACATTGATAACAGTGCAAAATTGGCCCGTGACCCGTGGGCAGCCCGAAGCCCGGCCCAACGTGAATATTCACATTGATATGTTAACATTCACATTGATAAGAGTGTAACATTAACCCGTGCCCCGTGACTGCCCGAAACCTGCCTACAGCCCGTGGGCGACCCGAGGCGGGCCCGGCCCGCTCTGTTGACAATGTGAATATTCACATTGACATGTTAACATTCACATTGATAAGAGTGTAAAATTGACTCGCGTCCCATGGGCTGCCTGGGTTTGGGTCCGGGCCTACTCGGGCAGCGGACAAATTTTACACTCCTATCAATGTTAATGTTAACATGTCAATGTGAATATTCACATTGTCACGGGTCGGGCCAAGCCCGCCTCAGGCTGCGATCTGGCTTCGGGCCGCCCACGGGCTGCGGGCTAATTTTACACTCCTATCAATGTGAATGTTAACATGTCAATTTGAATATTCACATTGCCAACGGGCCGGGCCCGTCCCGGCTCGAGGTCGGGCTTCGGGCTGCCCACGGGTCACAGGCCAATTTTACACTCTTATCAATGTGAATGTTAACATGTCAATGTGAATATTTACATTGTCAATAGGCCGGGCCGGGCTCGTCCCGGGCCGTGCACGGGCCGTGGGCGGGTTTCGGGCAGCCACGGGGCACGGGCTAATTTTACACTCCTATCAATGTTAACATGTCAATGTGAATATTCACATTGTCACGGGTCGGGCCAAGCCCGCCTCGGGCTTCAGTCGGGCTTTGGGCCGCCCACGGGCTGCGGACCAATTTTACACACTTATCAATGTGAATGTTAACATGTCAATGTGAATATTCACATTGTCAACGGGCCGGGCCGGGCCCGCCCCGGGCCGCGGGAGGGCTTTTTGCCGCCCATGGGCCACAAGCCAATTTTATACTCTTATCAATGTGAAAGTTAACATGTCAATGTGAATATTCACATTTTCAACGGGCCGGACCGGGCCCGCCCCGGGTCGCCCATGGGCCGTGGGTGGGTTTCGCGCCACCACAGAACGGGGGCCAATTTTACATTCCTACCAATGTGAATTTTAAAATATGAATGTTCACATCATTAAATTGCTAATCATTCAAAAAATATTTATAAAGGTATCAAAATTTAATATAAGGGCATAAGTGTCCAAGAAAATAGTGTAAATCAAGAAAATGGACTTTATGGAATAAAACTATACATACATGGGACTAAATGGGTTAAAAAATTCCTTCATGGACTTATTGGGTTAAAACACTTCTAAATTGGACTTATCAATAAAAATCCCTATTTTGTTTGAATTTATTTCAAGTTATTTTATTTACACAGAAGATTGTTCCAATAGGGACACCATCAAGCAGAGGAGCTTGTCCGATGCATTTGCATGGAAGTTGCAGAAACAAGTTTCAGAAAAGTTACTAAGGTATTTGCACCAGCATTATTCAAAGCAACATCGGTTGGGATTCATGAAATTGTTGAAAATATTATGGAGTCATGCCCTTTTATGATCTGTCTTGTAAACTCGAAGTAGCAAAACATATTCCAATATGCAATTGCATGTCGTTGTGAAAATCAGGGGCGGCTCCACGGCATCCACAGGGTATTCAATACCCTCAAATTTGAAATTTTAATATTTTTTTTTTTTTTGGGTTTAGTTTAGTTTTGAATACCCAATCCAAAATTTGAATACCCAATCCAAGATGGTTGAATACCCCTCTGACCCACTTGGCCCATTTGTCTAAACAAATAATGAAACCACTAGCCCACTTAGCTACTTAGCCCATTTGCCAAAACAAATAACCCTCTAGCCCACTTAGCCCCTTAGCCCATTTGCCTAAACAAATAATAAAACCCAAAAGAATTGGCAATGAGATATATATATATATATATAGGCACGAATCTGCTGCTTGGAAGAGTAAAGTCAAAAAGTGTAGTTAGTTAGGGCAAAAAGTGTAGTTAGGGCACGAATCTGCTGCTTAGGGGAGGCTCAACGCTGCTTTCGTTTTGTCTCTCTCAATCTCTCCCTCTCTTTTCGCGGTCCCCCCCTTCTCTCTTTCTGTGGGTGGTCCACCTCTGTCTTTCATTGTTGCCCATGGAATATGGATCATGGATGTTGGTATTGAATGAAGATGAAGTGGTTACTGTCATGCTTTGCTGTTGCTGACTAATTGTTAAGAAAAAGGCAAAAAGAAATTTGGGAATTATATCTCATCAGGTATTATTTTTTTATCTCTATAATATTAAAATTTATTTAAACTTGATACTATAAACAAAACCTTCCATCCATATATAATTAATTTTACAGTTATGCATGTTAATATAATATTTGGGGATTATACTTTGTTGTCATCAGGTATAATATTTTTTTAAGTTTCTTCACTTTATTTGTTTTAAAAATTAAATAGGAGCTGAAATTTTATAATCAATTTATTTATACTCTTGTAGTTATTTTTTTTCTATGATTTATTTAGATAGCTCTGTTTTTTGTGTGGATATTTTTAGGTGCATCCTACTCTTTTGTTTAGTTCTCGAATTATGGACAAATTTCTGAAAAGAAAATCAACTATTGTACAAGATTCATCTCAATCCCAAGAAACTTGTGGTGATAGTCACATTCAAGATTCTTCTTTTGAATTTGCCTTCACTTTACACTTGATGAAAAATATTTTAGGGATTACAAATGAGTTGTCGTTAGCATTGCAAAAGAAAAATCAAGATATTGTCAATGCTATGACACTTGTTAAAGTATCTAAGCAACGATTGCAGATGATGAGAGATGATGAATCGGAATCTTTATTGACTGAAGTGTCTTCATTTTGTAACAAACATGAGATTTCTATTCCAAATATGGATGAAATATTTGTTGTTAGTGGGCGGCCACGACGCAAAGCTCTACAAATTGCAAATTTACATCATTATCAAGTTGAGCTATTCTACACAGTCTTAGATATGCAACTTCAAGAGCTTAACAATCGCTTTTCAGAAGCAAATACTGAGTTACTTCTTTGTATGGCTTGCTTGAATCCTAGTAAATCATTCTTTGCTTTTGATAAGCATAAGTTGATTCGTCTTGCAGAGTTCTATCCATATGATTTTTCTGCAACAGATTTAATGGTCCTTGACATCCAACTTCAAAACTACATTGTTGATATGCGCTTAAGTGAAGACTTTTTAGAACTTAAAGGAGTTGGTGATCTTGCTATAAAGTTGGTGGAGACAGATAAACATGTGATATATCCATTAGTCTATTTGCTTGTGAAATTAGCATTGACTCTACCTGTCACGACAGCAACAATGGAAAGAAGTTTTTCAGCAATGAAGTATATAAAGAGTAATTTGCGTAACCGAATGGGAGATCAGTGGATGAATGTTTGTTTGGTTACATACATTGAAAGAGATGTATTTGATAGCATTGATAATGAGGAGATTATGCAACGTTTTCAAAATATGAAATCTCGTCAAGGGCAATTGTAATATTTTATCTAATTGCAAGTTGTTTTGATGGCAATTGTAATATTTTATCTAATTGCAAGTTTTTTTTTTTGTCAAAACTTTAATATTAATATATTAGAGTTCTCTTTTATAGTTGTTTTTTTAATACAGTTGTTAGATTTTAAGTTACTTAATGAATACCCTGATTAAAATTCCTGGAGCCGCCACTGGTGAAAATGTGTTCAACCTCATATATCAACTTGAGGAGTCTAGTTATATGGTTCTCTCACACCAGGACGAGTCGGGGAACAATGCTCTGCATTCGGCTGCATTGTTGGGACCTCAGCAGCAACTCAGTCTCAGAGTAAGTGCAGCTAGTGCAGCTCTACAAATGCAGCCCGAAATGCAATGGTTTAAGGTAAGATTTTCCATTCCCCCATGAAGCACGGACACGGCGGAATAGAATAGGAGGACATGCTGGGGACACATACATTTGGCGTGTCCTTTTATTTTTTATTTTATATGGGACACGGTGGGCGACACTACACAGCAGGAAGAAGACCAAACCAAAACCAAACCAAGCCTTAAGTCCCATCAAATGGGACACAGCAGGAAGAAGAGGAGAGAAAAAAAAAATTCATAAATCCCTAACCTAATTCGAACAAAATAGAAAAAGGACAGAATAGACCCAAATTTAAAATCAGAAGGGAGAAAAAAAAAAAACAAAGAGAATCGAACCTGTTCATCGACTAGCGTAGTCAATCGTCAATCTCCATTCATCGAGAGAAGAGAATCAAACCTACTCCATCTCCATTGACCTCCATCTCCGGTCGATCTCCATCGCCTCTTGCCTGTCGCTCTATCGCTTCTGGCTTCTCTGTCCTCTCTCGCTTCTCGCGTCAGTCTCTCTCTTTTCGCGGAAAAATGCTAGGGATATTTACAATCTTACTAACATACTCACAAGTTGATATGGGTCCCATATCAAGTGATGGTTAATCTTATCAAACTTATAAGTCTTGTGAGTATGTTATTAAGATTGTAAGTATCTTAGCATTGTTACTCTTCGCGTATGTCTCTCTTCCCTTCTTTTTATTCTTTTATTTTTTCTGATTATAATAGATATTAAATACAGAGTAATAAATATAAATATTAAATATAATGATTACTTTTAGTGTAGTGCTTTTTTTTTTTTTTTTTGATCAGCAAAAAGAAAGTTTTATTGATGGAGAAAACATACAATGTATGATAACGTACATCAATAAAGAGGAGGGTGCAAAGAGCATCAAAGTGAAGCATTAAGATCCCAACTAGGCTGGCACCTAGACACACACCAAATCATTTGCTAGCACCAACTCCAAGCTCCAAGTTGGTGAGAAACCAACGAACAGAGCAGAAACAAAACAAGTAAAACACAAACAGCCACAAAACATCACCCACATCAGTATAGCATCTCAGCATTAGCACATCTCCAAGTTGAAGACAATTCAGCAATAGCACACCTCTGTATTAAACAAATCAGCATTAGCATTAGCATTAGCACAGCACACCTCTACTGGAGCATCCAAAGTCAGACCAGCACAGACAGCAGCCAGATGACATTCACCATGTCAATAACAAGAGGAAAGTAAATTCAAATTCTCATTGACACTCTCTGTTTGAACCTCACATTTTCTTCCATCAATCTGGCGCCCTTCCAGCAAATAGCAGCATACTAGCAGCATACATCAGCATACATCATCAGCAGACTAGCAGCATCAATATAGCCAACTAGCAGCATAGTGTAGTGCTTATGATGATGGTGGACTGATGCAATAGTTGATTTTTCTATGGTGCATAGTGGTTGGGATTATAATTTTTTTTTAAATATATTATTTTTTATATTTAAAATTATTTTAATATATTTTTTAATTTTCTCTATTTAATTTTTTAAATTTATAAATATAAATGTAGTAATTTTTGTATATATTGAATTAGTGTTAATTTTTATTAATAATTTTGATTGTTTAGTAATATAATATTAATCTACGTAGAAAATATATAAAAAATTTAAAAATAAAATTATGTATCCCCACCGTATCCGTATCTTTATGTTTTTGAAATTACTGTATCCAGTGTCCATATCCGTATGCGTAATTCATAGCATTCTCCAAGGGAAATAAATAAAATGATTAAGCAATTTCTTTATATTTCATTCTTCTCTTAATTACTTGACTTTACCACACAAATTACATATGCCATGTTTTTAACTATGAACTTTTTCAACTCAGATGTCTCAGGACAACCCCTACCATACTCAAACTAGAGGTTGTTGATCTTAAATTTGTGTATGAATTATGAATTTGTGTAGAGATTTGGAAATGAAAAGGGAACTCAAAGAAAAAAATTTAGCTTATATGTCTCATTCATATTATTCTCACATTTTCTCTTTTCTTTTTTGAATCCTTATCTAAATCCATGATTCAAAAACATCTAAGTTTGAAATAGATTAAAGTTGCTTTCTCATTCCAAAATCCCCAAGTTTTGATGCAAAAACTTTCTCGACTGAGATGTCTCATGACAACCCCTTCCCACTACTTAGATTAGAGGTGATTGAGTTTTTAGATGAAGCTTGCCTTTATCATTCCAAAGCCATTTTTTTGTTAATTTGTACAGGAAGTAGAAAAATTGGTACGGCCTATTGACAGAGAAGTGACGAATACTAATGGAATGACACCTGGAGAAGTATTTACTGATACACACCAGGAGTTGGTAAAGGAAGGAGAGAGGTGGATGAAAGACACTGCGACTTCATGCACAATTGAAGCTGCCCTCATTGCCACCGTGGTTTTTGCAGCTGCCATTACAGTGCCAGGTGGAAACAACAACAATGACGGACATCCATATTTTTCCAAACATAAAGCCTTTATAATCTTCGGCATATTTGATGCATTGGGTCTTTTCTCATCCATTACTTCTGTGTTGATGTTCTTGTCCATCCTTACTGCTTGCTACGCAGAAGAGGATTTTCTCTATGCTCTCCCCAAAAGATTAATCATTGGTCTTGTTATGTTATTTGTCTCTATATTATCCATGATGATTGCCTTTGGAGCCACACTCTATCTAATGTTTGGAGATAATAAGGTCTGGATTCTTGCTCCTGTCGTTGGATTCTCCTGCATACCTGTGACCTTGTTTGCAGTCTTGCAATTTCCTCTCCTTGTAGTGATGATAAAATCCATTTCGGGTTCGGGCATCTTTGGCAAGCGAAGTGATCGTATGCTCATGTAGGTAAAAATTTAAAAAACATCAAATGTTGAGAGTGTGAAAACATATCTTCTGCCAAACTCCTCTAGTATTCAATGGTATTTCAAATTACAATTGCTATTTGATTATTCAATTGCTTTGTAACTAATGAGTTATTACTGTTTGATTATTTTGTCATTGTTGTCAAATTTCAATAACAAAATATGTGAGTGGTAGTCATGTATGTGAGTTATTGCTGTTGGTATTGGTTTGGCTATTTTCTCTCTATTTCTTTTATGATGGGATTCACAAATGGTATTTATATTTAATTTTTTATTAAAGGAAATTTATTAAAAAAAATTCTTTGAAGTATTTGTATCCTAATTAGTTCATAAGATATTCTTATATTCTAATAAGTCTTATTATTTTGGACATTTGATCTACCAAATTCTAATTCTCATATTTAAGGTTATGGACAATTTTACCCTTACAAATATTTGTTAGAAAAATGTGTTTGTTTGATAACCAGTGGACTAGTAATAGTTTATGTTTGTTTTGAGATATATGAATGGGATTAATCATGTAAAATTACAAAAATACCCTTGTTGTATTAGTATTAAATTTAAGCTTATACCAACTAATAAATGTATTACCCAATTAAACTATTCAAAAATTATAATTATAATTATATAATTAAAAATAATAAAAAATTCAACTATTAATCTATTTATTTTTATTATTATTATTATTATTATTATTAAAGAAACTATTTTTATTATTATAATTAAAATCATATAATTTATTTATTTCTATTTTTTAATATTATTATTATTATTATTAAAGAAACCAACCACTGGTTTCTCAAAAAACCAGCCCATGGTTTTGACCATTCAAAAGCATTTTCAATTTATCAAAAATGTGTTGCCTCTGTTAGCTCACCCAGAAAAATCTCATTGTGGACTTCGCCTTCTTGTGCAAAAATCCTGCTCTGTCTCTCTCTACCTCACGCGTCTCTCTCTTGTTCAAGCTTTGCCATTGATAATCACAACTTCAAGTTGATTGGAGCTCTATTTGCGACACGATCTCAACCTGGGTATGATTTGGGTATGATTTGGGTATGATTTTTTTTTTTCTTGCAAATTTTTTTGGGTATGATTTTAGTTCAAGCTGTTTGGCTTCATTTGGGTATGATTTTTTTTTTCTTGTAAATTTTTGGGTTTGTGGATGTTTGTGGATCAGAACAACGATGCTGCCTCATTTGAGCCAATTTTCTATAAATTTCTGGGTTTGTTAATATTTTTCTAGAGATGGAAGGAACATTTTTGTGGGCAAAATCGTCATTCACACTCTAATACCAACGGCTTAAATTCTAATACCAAGTCCTCTACACCTTTGCTAATCCCCTCGTTGGAGGGGATTCACAGTCCGAACGGATTATCAGTCCAGTGGCTATTTTGCAAACAAACGTGATATTGTGAATCCAACCTCACTATTAATCCTAATCCCAAGCCTCAACTTGGAAAACAAACGGGCCCTTAAGTAACTTGGTGACGTGAACATTCACATTAAATAAATTTGACAATATGAATTTTCGCATTATAAAATATTCACATTGTCAATGTGAATATTAATGCAGATTTCACCTTATTACTATTAGGGGTATTTTGATAACTATATTACCCATAGGACTTAATAGAACATAAAAAAAAAAAATTTAAACTAAGTGAAACATAAGTAGGTGAAAAAAGATATATACATAAATGTCCCCCCAAAAAAAAATAGAACAAATAATTATTTGAGTTAATTACATTTTTCACTCTGGTAGACTTAAAGTGTAGGGATCAAATTGTTCAACTTCAAAATATAAAAACTGAAATGAAATTTAGGTCAAACTATTGAGGGTGTGTACTATAACATTACCCCTTTTTGACTTTATTGTTTTCTTGTTAAATAGAACAAATAATTATTTGAGTTAATTATTCTTTTCAGTCCTGTAGACTTAAAGTATATGGATCAAATTATTTAGATTGAAACTAAAAAAACCTAAAATAAAATTTAGATCAAACTATTGAGGGTATCTGCCATAACATTACCCCTTTTTAACTTTATTATTTTCTTGTTATTGTCTCTACACATCACATGTTAGACGAAATGCTGAAATTGTGGAATGCTCAAGGTGATTCACCAGGTTCTGTGGATCATTTCCTGTTATGGTGGGCAGGGGGGAGTATGAAGAAGATGGAGTTGTGTTGTGGTCAGTTTGGAAACACAGAAATCAGTGTGTTTTCAGAGCATCTAATCCAAACCAAACTGAGTTGTGTGACTTGATTAAGATTATGATAGCTTTGTGGTTGAAATCACTCTTTAAGGATTTTCATTTTACAGTCAATGACTTCATTCTCAACTTGAGGCAGATCAGGATGTGTTCGGGAGGAGTTGTGATGCAATGAGTTGGGGGTGATTTGCTAATGGGGTTGTCCCAGGGATTAGGCTAGTTTATTAGCTCTGCTGTTTGTTTTTTGTTTTGCTTTTCTTGGCTGTAGTGTTGGTTAGTCACCAACTTTGGGGTTGTGCTAGCATAGAATCGGGGTAGGCTTTGCAGTGTCAACGTAATTGGAATGACGTAAGTCTATTGTAATGCTCTTTGCATTCCTCCACTTTGTTGAAGTAATTCAAATGGTTGTACATTTGTTCATTAATAAAGTTCTTTTTGGACTGATAAAAAAAAAAAAAAAAACATTTTAGACGAAAGCAAAGTGGTTTTTGAGTTAAGGATTTGAGACGATTTGTTGAGGAAAATAAAAATTCTATTTTATTTACTTTTTATTTTTATTTTTTCCCTATAAATCTCAAATCTTAAATCCAAACACAATTTGAAAAGAAAAAGAAAAAATGTGAGTGAAATGTAAATGAAAAATAGTTACATTTCACTTATATTCTTTTCTTTTCTTTTCTAAATCCTTATTCAAATCTAGGGCTGGACAAACATCCATTCAACTTGCTAAAACCGAATGACCCGAACCAATCCGCTACAGAATGTACGATTTCAATGGTTTGAGGATGAATGTGGATGCATTTTTCCAATCCGCCTAAGTTTGGACGGATGGCAAGCCACCCGATCTGCCAACACTCCTAAGAAAATGATGTTATAGCCACCCGACCCGACCCAATCCAAACACAACCAATAGACATCACATGACAAATATGCCAATGGCATCTACTAAAACCTTGACAATTCAATTAGGTCCATATACATTTTTTGCCACAGAAATGTTATCTACTGAGTCCAAAATGTTTTGAAGTAGTTAGGATTTGGGTGGATTTGGCTGTAGGAGGTTTATCAACATTGATCACTGCTAAAAAGACGGTTCATTGCATGTGAAGGATGGTTCACATGCTCTTTTCTTATTAATTACCAGGTCTCATATTTTTTTTTTAATTTCATTCATGTGTAACTATGAGATGTTTGTTTGTTTGTTCTGGTGTTCTTCTGCTATGTTTCTTCCCCTTTCTTCTCTTGTTTTTCTTTGTGGTTGGTTTCTCACCAACTGGCGCTTGGAGCTTCGTTTTAGCTCCAAGCTCCTCTTTATTGATATACTTTTCCATACTTTGTATGTTGTCATCAATAAAGATTTTCTTTGCCGATCAAAAAAAAAAAAAAAACTATGAGATGTTTGTTGTTTTAGAAACAACCCAAAATACTTGTTTTAAACGTTTATTTTTGGATTAATTACACTAAGACCCTTTTATTATTAAAAATAATTATTTTATCTTCTTTATCGATGAACTCATTGACTCCTCTGTTGTGCCTAGGACTCAAGGACTCAGAAAGAAACACCAAACACACACAGAAAAGAGACACACAAAGATTTACGTGGTTCGATAAATCGCCTACGTCCATGGGCAACGAAACTCTCACTAATTGAACAAAGAGATACAAGTTCTTCTCTATACTCAACCTCACCTTACTCACTGATCTCACTCTATTTTTTAGCTCATATTTGCTCATCTCTCACCCTCTTTATTAATGGAGGCCATTTTTTCCTCTTCCTTTCGGTACTCCTTTTGACAAACTTGCACATGGCAAGTCTTCAACCACTTCAGACTTTGAGCATCCTTCTTTCGGTGCCTACTCCTTGACTTCGAGTATCCGAGCCAACTACCCCAACATCTTCAACTATGAAAATCATATAAATACACCTTTTTGGGAGGTGGCTTAGAGAGGATTTACAAGGGATGAAAGTAATACATTTTTACAGTTGAGTGGGTCAAAATATATATGGTTCATATATGAGGAAAGTAAAGTAATATTAGTTAATAGTTGAGGAGTCTTAGTGTAAATAATATTTTTTGAAAAAAATAATTTATTGTTTATGTTCAAAAAATTATGAATAAAAACTTGTCTGATGTTTATTTTTGTTTTTATAAAACTTTAAATCTCAACGTGTTTTACAATTAAAGAAAGAATAATTTAAATATTAGGGACCAAATTAAAACACTTATCTTCCCTATGCTTGTCTTGCCCGATACACCTGCTACTTTGTTCGTGTTCCTGCAATTTCCTCTCCTTGTAGACGTGTTCAAATCCACCTACTGTTCCATTTTTGTTAAGCAAGATGTTGATATGCTCTACTAGGTCAAACTTCAAAACAAGTTCAGAGCCTCCATATATATATATATATATGATCTTCAACTCAACAACTGTTTATATATTCAATGGTTCCTACTCTCATTTCTTCTCTAGAATTCTCTCGATAAGAACTTGTAATATTATTTGTGTTATTAATAATAAAAGAAGAAATAAGCTAATATCATTATAGAATTATTTAGAACTTTTTATAAAATAATGTAACAATGGATATGTAGTACTATAATTTTAATTCAGAAACAAAAAAATAATCCAATTTTTTGGGTGGATAGTTCACAATCAAATGTAGCATTATTTTGGGTGTTGGGAAGAGCTAAATATGTAAGAAATTATTAAAGGTGACAAGCTCATCTTAATTGTAAAAGTAAATTTGTAAATAAATAAATAAAATAAAATAATTAAATAATAAATTTGACAATTTAAAAATTAATAAATATGATAAATTATTCAGATATATAAAGGAGCTTTATTTGAAATTTCTTCCAAGTCTCTAATCATGTATGTTTGGATTGAGAATTAGAGGAGATATTTGGGAAGAGAAGAAAATGCAAAGGGAGGGGAAATCAAGAACTGGCATGTATTAATTTGATTCACAAAATTTCAAAATTGTGTCAATTTTACTTTTTAATTTTTATATATTATCAATTAGCATATCATCCGTGTTATATATGGAATAAAATAATATATTATTTAATAAAAATATGATAATTATATTTAATTTTTTATATTTTATAAAATAAAAGTTAAATGAAAGTTAGTCAATCGGGGATTTTCTTAATTGTTTAAAATTAAGAAAATTAAAAAAATTAGTATGAGATATTGATCATAAGGTTTCTCATTAAAAATCTCCTTTTGCTCATATAAAAGCGAACATAAGATTCACTTTATGTAAGTGAAATAATTCACTTTTTCTTTTTTTTCACAATGTGGGATTATAAAATAAAAGTTAAATGGAAACTAGCCAATGGAGATTTTCTTAAGTGTTTAAAAGTTAACAATTGTTTGGGTGAAAAATTTATTTCAAATCAAGCAATTTTAATTAGGTCAATCTTTAATTTATTTCTAATAAAACAAATTTAACCAATATATTTTGATAAAACTGTTAAAATCACAATTAAACTAGCGAATCAGTCAAACCGAAAATAGTTCATCCTATCGGCTAGGTCAAAGGATCAACCAACTTATACAAAAATTAATTAATTAAAAAAATTTATATTTTATTTTAATTTTAAAATTTAAACTGTCTTGAACTGAAACATACACAACACTACAATATTAAATGAGAGCATAAGGTTTATATAGTGAAATAACTCATTTTTTCATCTTTTTCCTGATGTGAGATTGTAAAATAAAAGTTAACAATTGTTTGGACAAGAAATTCATTTCTAATCAAGCAATCTCAATCATTCAATTTTTAATAAGCTCAATCTTAGCTTATTTCAAATCAAACAAATCTAAGGAATATATTTTGATAAAACAGCTAAAACCGTGGTTTAAACCAGTGAATCAGTCAAACCGAAAATGATTCAGCTTAATCAGTTAGGTCAAAAGACTAACCAATTTACAACAAAATTAATTAATTAAAACCTTTAAATTTTATTGGGTGAATTACACTAACGGTCCCTATTGTTTGGGGTTTATGTCATTTTGGTCCCTGACTTTTCAATTATGACACATTTGACCCTGAATTTTGAATATTATTCCAAATAATGACAAATGAATATACTATTGGATTTTTCAAAGGCAAAATTGTCAATTTCGTAAAATATAAATTAATTTGACAAAAATAAATGTTAATAAATTATTTTTGAATTTTTAAAAATTATTTCTACTACTAAAGATAAAATTATGTAAAATTGATAAATCTTTTAGATATTTATTTCTTTTTTGGGTGATGCACCAATAAATCCCGAATCTTTATCTTATGATCCATTTAGTCCTATATTTTATCTTATGATCTAATTAGTCCCAAGCTAATGTTAATGACAAAATAACCAGTGTTACACTATGTTTTGCGCTTTTTAATAACGGTAAATGAGGAAAACCCTAACGTGATATTGACTGAAATGCCCAAAACTCTGTAGATGTTTGTTTTCCCTCCAAACAAACATCAACAAAACATAATAAAAAACATCAAACATTAAAACATCAACAAACATCAAATATCAACAAAACATCATCAAACACATCAACAACATCAAACATTAACAAAACATCATCAAACAACAACAAACATCAACAAAAAAATTGTGAACATCATCAAGATCAGCAAACATCATAAACAAAACATCATCAAACATCATCAAAAAAATTGTAAACATCGTCAACATTAACCAACATTCGATCATCATCATCAAACATTCGAACATTTGAACATCATTATTAAACATTCGAACATCATCTTGCTGCGAACTTTCAAACCCAGAAACCCTAACACCCCCCAAAAAACAACAAAAACAAAGATTTCAACTTTTTCACTTTCTCCAGAATCAATCTCTAATCATCAAAAAGTGCAGATAATAGAGATTACAGAGATCATCGGAATGGCGGAGTAGATCGGCTTGGTGTGGGTCGGGAGAGGCGGCGAAGCCATGGTATTTGTTCGGCGACTTTCCACATGGTTGGACGGTGAAGGAGGAGATTCGCATCTTGTTTAGGGTTCGCTCCATGTAGATGTCGCGGCGGACGATGTTGGAGATGTGATGGATTGCTGCGAAGTAGTCGTCTTTTGATGCACCGCGGCTGCTGCTGATTCTTGTGTTGGTGGGGGTTCCATGGTTGTTGTTGTTGTTGGTGGTGGTGGTAGTGGTTAGGGTTTTGAGTAGAAGGGCGGTGGCGGCGGCGGTGTTTTTTCGAAGAAGAAAGAGAGTTACAGAGGGGAGCATTTGGATCTACCCGGCGAGAGGAATTGGTACGAGTTTGCTCCCCTGTTCACAAAACCCAACCCGAGTGCAACGTTTGTTGGGAAAAGGCGTTTGATGTTTTGATGATGGTGACGATGTTGATGATGTTTGCCATCAAAAGGGTATTGATGTAAAAATAAATGGAATCAAATCAAACTCTCAAAAATCTGGCAATACATTAGGACTGAATGGTATACAAAAAAATTTAAAGGACTAAAAGGTTTAACTTTTTCCAGGATAGGATTTATGGGTAATTTTTCCTTCTTTTTTTTTACCAAATTAATTTTTATTATGTATTTGGATGATAATCATGTAAAATTAATTTTTAAAAATTAATCATGTAATTTTTATTAATTTTTATCAATTTTACATAATTTTATTTTTGGTGAGTAGAAATAATTTTTAAAAATTTTAAAATATTTTTTTGACATTTATTTTTCTCAAATTAGTTTATATTTTATAAATTGAAGATTTTGCCCTTGAAATTAAGCAATGGTATGTTAATTGTCCTTATTTGGAATAAGATTCAAAATTCAAGGTCAAATGTGTCACAATTGAAAAGTCAGGGATTAAAGTAACAAAAATTCCAAACTATAGGGACTATTAGTGTAATTTGCCCATATATATATTATTAAATTATTCTTGTATGGGCCTCTAGTTTTCATCGCTGGCAACATGGTTTGTAGCCACTTTTTTTGGTTAGTAGCAAAAGCCAAAAGTTGGCTTTTTTGTCTTTTTTTTTCATTTGGGAAGTTGGTTTTTAGCCAACGGTGAAATTACAATTTTACCCCTCATGGGTCAAAATGTGTTGCATAGGTGAAGTTGTAAATATTTTAAATAAATGGGGATAGTTTGGTCATTTTATTATGATTTGACATCATAAACAAACATTAATAAAAAAAGTTAAAAAGTCACTTTTTACCAACTTCCCAAATCATTTGTCTAAAAAAGCCAAAAGCTTGGTTAAAAACCAAAAAGCCACTTTTTACCATCTTCCCAAAATAAGCCATAAATTCCTATATATACATATACATCATTCAGTGCATCAACATTGCTATATTTAGCATACAATAACCAAAAAAACAGAGCCCAAAAACAGAGATCGACCATGAATACCAAACAGAGCACTATCAGTGTCCTAATGCTACCATGGTTGGCCCATGGGCACATCTCTCCCTTCTTAGAGCTTGCCAAGAAACTCTCACACCGAAATTTCCACATATATTTGTGTTCTACCCCAATCAATCTCAAATCCATCAAGAATAGAATCACTGAAAGGTACTCTCACTCCATTGAATTAGTAGAAATCCACCTTCCATCCTTGCCTGAGCTTCCTCCTCACTACCACACCACAAATGGCCTCCCAACCCATCTGAACTCCGCCCTCCATACAGCCTTTGAGATGGCAAGCCCAAGCTTCTTCACCATCCTCGACACACTAACTCCAGACCTTGTTATTCATGACTTCACCCCCTCATGGCCACCAACAATTGCCTCCTCGTTTAATATTCCGGCAGTCCAGCTCATGACTTCTAGTCCTAGATTCCATGAAACGCGGTTTCACCATACGATCGAGAATGCAACAAAAAAATCCAAAGACAAACAAGCTGCCCCTGTAAATGATCAACTCTTTTTTTCATTTAAGATATGTATTTTTTTGTTACCTATTTTAGAGTCAATCTAATAAAAAATATATAGTAATAAGGTACAATTTTTTTAATTAGAAAAATGCAATTGAATTAAAATCAATTTCATTTAGTAGAAATAAATTTCATAAAATTCCACTTATGGGAAAAATTTTAAACTCTTCATACACTTGCTAAGTTATTTTTAACTAAAAGTAAAAGTTTTTACCTTAAATATCAATCGGACACAAATCAAAATAACACTATACAACAACACGAAAATAAATGAATTGAACTAATTTTAAAGTAATTATGAAATAACACGACATGATACACTCCCCTAATTAGGGGCCTAAATTTTGTTCAAAATTGAGGGCCCGAGGCAGCCGCCTTAGTGGCCTCACCTCAGGACCGGCCCTGGAGGGTTGGGCACCACAGGCAAGAATTCTGGCCCACTCAAGCACCGGTTGCTTTGTGAGTCACTGTGGATGGAATTCAGTATTGGAAAGCTTAACATTTGGGATACCAATTGTAGCAATGCCAATGCATTTGGACCAGCCATTAAATGCTAGACTGGTGGAGGAGGTTGGTGTGGCTATGGAGGTCATTCGAGACGAGAATGGCAGACGCAACAGAGAAGCAATAGCACAAGTAATAAGGAAAATTGTGGTGGAAAAAAGTGGGGAGGATAAAAGAATTAAAGCTAGAGAACTTAGTGAGAAAATAAGAATGAAAGGAGAGGAAGAGATAGATGAGGTGATTAAAGAGTTGTTTCAACTTTGTAAGGATAGATGATGAGTTTCTTTTTTCTTTTTTTTGCATTATAAAGCTTGTTTCTTTTTTTGTTGCATTTTTGTTCTTGTAACTTGGTTCCTGATTTTCTATTGAGCACATATACTAACAAGCATTGTTTTGGTATGTGTTTGTTTGTTTGTTTTTTTTTTTTTGAAATGCAATCTGAAACCCAGAACAAAACTGAAATGGTTGAAAAGATGGCAACCAATCCCCAAACCATAAACACAACAGAGAAAGGAGAAACCAAAAGAGAACATCCAAACCCCTACTCTTTTGAGAAAACGCTTCGCCCAAAAGAACAGCTAAAACAGAGTAGTGAAAACATCACCAATCTAGGCCCATGGGTCTAAAGCTAATCCCATTTTGATAATTTAATTCGTTGAAATTTTTGACTTTTTTGTATAGATCATTCGAGTAAAAAAATTTAGTCTCATATGATAATTATAACTCTATGATTTTGTTATATTTATTTTCAAAAAAAAAATTAATAAATAAAATAAGTGTGATTTTAAAAATAGTCTTTCTTTTTTCTAACACAAATGTGACAAATTCATGTTAGTAGAATTATTTACGTACAAAAGATGAACATATTAATCATTGAAATAGTATCCACAGAGAGCTCACAAATTGAAGTGGTCAACTGGATAGAGTTGTTTTAGATTTTATACATAACAAGGCTTCGTTTATTTTGATGATTTTTTTTTTTTTTTGTGTTTTTCAACGTTAAATAATAATGAGTTAAAAAAACATAAAATGGTTATGGTTGTAAATTTTGTCAATATATTATACGGGTTCGTTTGGGATGTAAGTTGACTTTTTGGTTTTTTTAGTCTGTGGCTAAAAAGTTTCGTTTGTGATAGGCATTTTGATTTTTTTAACTTTTGTGAGAGAAAAAATAAAATGATCATGGTTTAAATGTGACATTTGGTCTTATTGGCCTTTAAAAAATTATTTTGTCTTTTTATAACTATTTTAGTCAAAAATCTCATTCTAACTTATGTCAAAGGAAAGTTAAGTCATGCAAGAGCTAAAATAAAAATAGAAACATTCACATCATCAGGTGAGTGCCGGCTAGAGAAAAGGCCATGTTGGACCCAATTCATAGAGTCCCAAGAATTACAAATACATCCAATTATGCCATCTTATGATTGATTGTTTTATTTTATTTTCAAATTTTTGCATAAATGGTTGATGTTGTTGTACATTGTGATGTCGATGACTTTCATGAATAACATATTCTATGAAAAAAAAAATTAGGATTAATTACAACAACGCTCTTTATGAAATTAAAGATGCTATTTTTTATTACAACAACACTCTTTATGAAATTAAAGAACAATTTTTTAAAAAACAATTTTTTATATGATTGATGGAGACATGCATCACTTCCACACACGTCCAAACAAACAAAAAAAAAAAAAACAAATTTTCAAGTATTGTACCAGACCACGGTGAAAGAGAAAAAAAATTTCCAACTTTTTTCAGTACACACAGATCTGCCAGATCCGTACTGACATACCTGCAGATTTATATGGGTAAAATGATAATTTTGCTAATTTATATAATATTTTAATATATATTTTTTCATAAAAATTAAAAAGTTATCCCAAACAATCATTCTTTTTTCCTTCACTGTTTTACTCAAAAAGTTAAAAGGTACACTTATTTAGAACACCTTAAATAATCCCTAAACATAGTAAAACATCACTTTCACTTTTATTTATTTATTATTTTATTTTAATTATAAACCGCATTGATGTGTTTCATTATATATTTTTATAATTGAAAAAAAAAATTAGAACATTATTACGCTGCCATTGCTATTATATTGTATGGTTGAATTGGTTGGAAAAAAATGATTTTTTGGTAACTTTAATTCAAAATTAAAGTGGGATCCAATCGTCGATTGAGGTGGGTCTGAGTGAATTTGTATTCTCTTAAATGAGAAAATTGTTATACAAAAAATAAGGGCAAATTACATATACACCCCTCCAGGTTTGACAAAATTACAGATACCCCCCTGAGGTTTGAGAAATTACGAATTCCCCCCTGAATGCTATATTTGCATAAGAAATTAGGGGGTAATTTGTTATGAAATATAAACCTCAGGGGGTAAATTGTTATGAAAATACAAACCTCAGGGGGCGGGATGTAATTTCCGAAATCTCAGGGGGGTATCTGTAATTTAACCAAACCTGGAGGGGTGTATATGTAATTTGCCCAAAAAATAATAGGTTACAACCATTGAGTTGTGAATGAAAATTGTCTCATAAAGTGAGCATAAATAAAAGTTGGTCTTAGATTTAGACTTAGTCTTAGTTTGGACTAGGCCTAGACTTGTGCTCGTGCATGTGTTGGGTTTGGTCTTGGACTTAGACTTGGACTTAATCTTAAGCTTGGGCTAAACTATGTTGTGTTGGACTTAATTTGTGCATGTGTTTGAGAATTAGGTTTGGATCGGGTTGTTGTAACGCCCCAAAATTTCTCCAACATAATCTAGGTGCATCGGCTAACATTCATTATAGAATAAAAGCAATTCCCAAATCATCATAACTTTGATCATTAAAGTCTGTACAAAATAGTCCCAGATGCGAATTATACATTCAATGACATTACATACATGAATCTATAGCATCTGGAACGTCAAATTCAAAAGTAAATAAAATGCCCCCGAGGGCTTACAAATTCCAAGGCTTAAGCTTGGTTACACAAAAATAGTCTCTTGGACTCAAACAGTTATAGCCCTAGGGTTACAAAATACAATCATAACAAAACAGAGCCTTGTGCTCTATATACATATATCCACGTCCTAAATTGGCGGATTCACCACGTCCTTCCCTGCACCAAAATCCCATAAGGGTGAGCATAAAGCCCTGTAGAAAATTCTTAACAAAGTATATACATTTATGCAAGATTTTTCAATATGAAATGCATATGCCATGTTATGCCAATTAAAAGAGGATTTCATTTACATCTTTTAATAAAAGCCACCATGCACAATGATAGTTTAAAATCTCAACAATTTAGAAATTTACAATTTAATTCAGAGCGGCGGTAAATACAACTCAGATAATCCCTAAATTGGTGTCTGCAAGTAGGCATAACTAGCACTACCAAAACTCCACTTTACAGATTGCTAACTGGAAGAGAAGTGGTACCTCCTCCACGCGTGTTTTCGGTCTTTCACCCCAGGCACTCCGGCCAACTTAATCAATCTCATCTACACCTCCTATCCGGTCTTACCAATGCATTTACCCCAAAACATTTCAATAATTCCCATTTCAAAATATTCTTTTCTCAATGTAAACTTTTCCAAACTCAATTCAAAATGTATAATTATCAGTAGAATGAGTATGTAATGCAATAATTAACAATGCCTGATAACATTTCTTCACTTTTAAGTATCTCAACAATAATACCATAATAAAACAAAGCTTCCATCTCTCCCTTCAATGCTATTACACACAATAGCCACATATGCATTTAATTCCATCAAATGATAGCAATGTTTCCATATTTCGAACTTCTCCTAACAATTTAGTCATTAAAAAAAAAAAAACATAACAATATCTTAGCACAACAATTTCCAACATCACCGCTTCTCATATTTCATGAAATCCATCATTTGTGTATCTATTTATATACACATATACATATATATATATATATCGATGAGATATTTCCAATCAATAAGCATTTTGGCACAAAAGGGGTAAAATAATGACAATGTTGTCTATGAGCTCTCAACAACCTTTCATATCCCAAAACCCTAGTTGTTCCTCACCATAACCATGCACATTCAAATCTCTTGAAATGAGTTTTCTTCAAAAAAGTTTCTTTTTCTCAATCAATGTAGTTCAAAATTTCCAAGAGATCATTTTTAAAAGAAACTAGGTGAAGGAAAAAAAAAATCCCCAAACATCCACATTCTTGAGCCAAAATCAAATGTCAACATTTACAATGGAAAATTTTTGAAAACCACAAAATCTAGCAAAAATATATATATAACTCCAAGAATAAATGCAATGCATACAATATGCAATTAATGGAGAAGAAATGTGATGTACTTCATGTTTACAGGAGAAGAAAGGGGATGGACTCCATTGAATTAAGTTGGCCCGTGTGTCCATGGTGAAAGTCCCGAAAACCATTTGTGTACATGGGTGCCGATTCCCACGGACGAAATTTTCGTAAAATGGAAAAGAGAAGTGAATGTATTGTGTGATGATTTTAATTTGTTGGAGGCTTGTAAGGTGTATCCTCTGTTGAGCAGATTAAAGGTAGTGGATATATATATATATATATATATCAGACTAAAATGAATGGAATGAAATGTAAGTTTGGCACACTATGGTTTTGGAGAAAGTTATAAAGATTTTGTTATAGGACAATGACAATGTGCATCATGCATATTCCTTGTTAATTCTCATATACTGTGTTAGATTGTTTCTACTGGGCTTTGGCTCACCCCCCTTTGGAAAAACGTTTTCAGGTACCGGCGATATGCTTCCTCCAACGATGTAGCTTAGGAGGACCTAGGAGTTGGATGCTTTATTTTGTTATTTTGTACTTAATGTTTGTTCAAGCTAAGGACTTTATACGTATAGAGTTTATGGCACTCTCTTTTGTTGTAACTAAGCAATGTCTTGGAAAGGTGTAAGCCCGTAGGGTATTTATTTTGTTGATCATTAACTGGTATTACATGCTATAGATTCAGAATGTACATTTATGAATGTATATTGCATGTATCATCTTTTGTTATGTAAACTCCGATGAATAAAAGCATAATATTTCCGTTAACATTCTGTTATAAAAATTGGATTTATTGTAATAATTTGGGGGCGTGACAAAAGAAGCGTTGGAAAAGGTGGTTGCAAAATTATACACATTACATATGAGTGTAACTCCTTTATAATGATGATGGATTGAATTGCCATCAATTGGGAGTTTAGCAAAATTAAATCTCTTGCATTTGTTGCAAGAGCCTTTCCCTTTCTCCC